TCAAGGTCAAGAATGGTGGCGTTATATCTCCACTCCCCCACACGTCTTCATGGCATAGTGCTTTATTAATCAAGCCCAGATAATTTACCTTTTTATCAAACATGTCGCGATACTGAGCTGTCACGCTTAAGCAAAATTTACTAGTTTTCACACCATCTGACGCACGCTTTCGTAACTTGCGGGTTTTGTAAGATGAGATGTTAACTCCCTCCCTCCGGTCTATCGTCAATAGACTGTCTGCTACTCCTTGTTCAATATCTTTCTAGAAATTTCCATTGCTGATATTTGGTTATCCAGTATCTTTGCACAAACCTCCGTGGGTCATGTACAGCTGCACATATTTTTAATCTCGTCACTAGATAGGGGTGTTGGTTCCACGCTCAGACCGCTATGGACTATCGTAGGAAAAAGGGAGCCGAAAACGTTTGAGTGGTACGTAGGGTATACCCTGCAGCTGGTCTGTGCGTGGCGAAGAAGGGGGAAGACCTACTCTTACGGAGAATCGAACCTCAGTCGTCAGACCCGTGGCCAGTCCTTGGATTGACTTAAGTTTCTCGGCTGGTTATAAGGGAAATGCAGAAGAGCGAAACAGCCCGGTGCACGGTGTCACACCTGTAGGTATGTACCGTTAGTGCCCGACTGCCCCATAACTGTTCTGATGTGCCCCCGGGGCGCTGCTTGTCTGGTTGCTGCTCTGCCGGGATTGTGGCGATAACTCCACGGAGCACCCTCCTTCTTCACAAGCTGATAGTCGCTCAGATGGCCTTGAAATCTTCCCACTTTTATGGAACTCGAAGGTTCATTGCCGTACTCACAAGATTTCGTCGCTGGTCGCTATAAAAGGATAAATTTGACCCTGTGTTTAAACAGTTAAGCACCAAGCCATGAAGACATGAGGTAGTGGAGGTGTGGCGTAACCGTTTTTGACCTTGGTACTTGATGGAGATGAGTGGTCAGCTTGACGCCCAGAACTTTTTACCCCCGGGAAAATCGCTCCCGTTGTCCTGAATCAAATTATTCTAATCTGCAACCACAAAGCCTCTTGTGGATACGGTAATGAACCTCCAGGTTCCATAGAAAGCGGGTAATTTTTGATTACCTGAATGACAATGGAGCAGGGATAGCCTAGTCTGTACAGTGACTGGCTACAGGCTGGACGACCGAGAGTTTGGAATTCGAGTCCCGGTAGTGTCAATAATTTTTTCTTCTCCAGGTATTCCATAGACCGGCTCTGGGGTTCACCCAACTTCCTATCAAATGGATACAGAGAGCTCTTTCCCCGAGGGTAAAGCAGCATGAGCGTGAAAATGGCCACTCACCTCCAACTAGTGCCGAGGTCAAGAAAACATGGGTCTATACATTCACTCTCCTATATGTCCTCATGACGTAGTGCTTAATTAGTTAAGCAAAGGGACAATTTTACCTTACCTGAATGACAGTCAGTTTCTGGACCGTGTTCCTTGCAATAAACTGAGAAGTAGTGGGTCTGGAACGGGGTCCACTCAGCCTAGTGAGGATAATTGAGGAGCTATTTCAAGGAAATAGCGGCTCCGGTCTAGAAAACCGAAATTAATGGCCGTGGGGATTCGTTGCGCTGACCACGCGACACCCACTATCCGCTAAAGTTTGCACTATCTTGGCCGACGAGCGGAGGTCGCTCGGTCGGTATAGCTCGCTTGAGGACTGAAACCACGGAGTGTGTCTTTTTTTGTTTTGTTTTTCTTCTTTGCAATGAACTCGCTCAACTGAAACTATCCTGGTAACAAGGGAATCAGAACAAAGGATTGCAGTGTGTGTTTCAGCGATTCTGCTTACAAGATAGATGTTCTTGTTATGGAAGGCATCCCCGCAGGTAGGCCGATATGACTCATGGAGTCTGTGTGGGACCACATGGTCCTACGCTGTGAGAGGCGTTCAAGGTTAGGCTGAAGCCAAGTGGACGTAGTTGACTTTTGTGCTATTAAACCGGGCTTGGTCGCTTACAACGAGAACAGAGACGAACAGAAACGGAGAACACTGTCAACAATGCTTTTATAAACGGTAAAATTGTCCCTGTGCTTAAATAATTAAGCACTACGCCATGAAGACGTACGTGGGAGTGCATGTATAGATCCACATTTTCTTGACCTCGGCACTAGTTGGGGGTGAGTGATGAACTTCACGCCCCGGCTGCTTTAATCCCGGAGAAAGAGTTCCCGGTACCCATTGGATAAGAGGCTGGGTTGACCCAAGAGCAGGTCTGGACAATGTGGAGCTCAGAAAATTCTTGACCCTATCGGGACTCGAACTCCGACACCTCGGTCGTCCAGCCGGTAGCGGGTTACTATACCGACTGAGCTATCCCGGGAAATGGTTTTATATGTAAGATTTAATAAGGAAGTAACCGTGCAACCATTTCCTCTGCATTTTTGGCCTTAAGTAATATTTAATTTATATACACTTGGTCGTCGACTTACGACCGACATAAGTTCTGACTGACAGGTCATAAGTCGATCTGGTCGTATGTCGGCCATATGTTTATTAACAGTATTTTTTTTAACTTTTTTTACCTTTTATCATATTTTATTTTTCATTTTTTTTTGTGGTCGTAAGAGTGGGCGGTCCTACGTCGCATAGGTCGTAAGTCGACGACCAAGTGTATATAATATGTTCTGGTTGTAGCAGGAAATCCTATAGTGAGATGCTCAGTGCCATCCGTATATGAGTAGTATTTTATGACGGAGTATTAATATTGTTGAAGTTTCTATATCTCCCGTGTCTGAAAAGAAATGAGAACGTAAGGTCACCATCAACCTGCTAACCTTTTCGAGTTTCATGTAGAATCATCGTCAAATTCAGGCAAAACGGATTTATAGGCGACCCCCGCAATTACGACCTAACTGATTCTTGTAGAGCCGTCAAACCCACGTTCCACAAAGGCACAATGTTATAAATTTCAGTACCGTTCCTTGAAAATTACTAAAACTCACTAACAAAATGCCGATCACAGTGGCCGCGCGGTCTGAGGCATGAACTATCTTCGCTCGTTCGAACACTGGGATCGTGGTTTCGAATCCCACGCAAAGCATGGATGTCGGTGTGTGCGTTTATTCTGTGTTTATGTTGTCCCGTGTGTAGGTAGCGGCCTTGCGACGGGCTGATCACTCGTCCGAGGAGTCCTGCCGTCTGTGTAAAATGATTACGAAACTGAAGAAGAGGCCAGGGCCAACAAAGGGCTGCAGAGCCACTGATGAATGAAGGAAAACTAAGTAAAACACTAATTGCATGCCTTTGCAGACATTTATTAGACGAAAACACACATTCAGTACAAAAATAAATGAGACAAAATATGAAGAAAGTCGTCTTCTGGGTTTTGGCGCCGTNTTTAAAAAATCATATAACAAAAATTAAATTCATCCTTACTACATATTCTATACTTTGTGGAGAGAGAAGGTTACTGGAAGAAATTAAATTAAATGCAGATAATATTAATCTTCTTTCAATGCCTCATGTTCATTCTTTGTTCTCGGTCTAGGGTGTGCTTTATGAGGAATAATAATTGTAAATAAGATCTAAAAGTTTGGGACGATGGTACATTACTACAAGTATTGTGCTTTTGGACATTATCCATCATCCTGTCTTTATCTAAAAACTATCTTGTTTATTTTTCAAAACACTCAGTTGGGCCCAATATAGAGATAGTCCGTAGTGCCCAACTGAGTAGGTTTTACCTGAAGACGGAGAGAGAATCCAGTCTCCGATACACTGTGTTTTGAAAAATAAAGAAGATGATTTTGAGATAAAGACAAGCCGATGGATAATGTCCAAAAACAAAATATTTGTTGTTGTATAAGAACAGTGGTTTGGGAATTCATTTATAGTACGTTAATGTTGATATTACTGTTGTTTTTACACGTTGATCACATACGTAAGACTAACAGATGCCGCTTGTGTGTTGTCAGTACTATTCTGATTGTGATTTAGAAAGAAGTAGGCTATGATCTCTAGGTGTATGTTGTAAAAAGAAATGCAGCTTCTGCAAGAATCACTGAAGTAGGCCTAACTTTCACAATAGACGTATAGTTTAGTTATCGGTAACAGGAACTTGTATGAATGGTCTCTCTTTCTGGCTCATTAAAGAAGAGTTCTGTCGGTTTCTTTCTTTTTCGTGAACCTCGCCATGTTAGCGGAACTGGGTCAGCGGATTCATTACCGACTGTTGCCGTGGGCTACCACAAGATGGCACGTGTCGGTACAGCAGGCGAACAACCGATTAATATAATTTATATATAAAAAAACCGCTTGAATTCTGTGTCCATTTCTTATTGCATATTCTCTCAAATCTCGAAGAGCCTGCGGTTTCGGTAGTCATTTTAATTTAGAATATTTCTTGAAGATGGAGCCGGGATAGCTCAATCAGTATAGCAACAACGCTAGAGACTGGACGTTCGAGTCTCAACAGGAGCAGGAAAAATTATTTTCGTAAAGTCCAGACCCCTGTCTAGAAAACCGAAATTAACGGCCGTGGGGATTCGTTGCGCTGGCCACGCAACACCCTCTATCCGCAATAGTTTGCACTAACTTTGACAAGCGTTGGTCGCTCGGTCGGTATATTTCGCTTGCGGACTAAAACCACGGAGTTTATTTTTAGTTTAAAGTCCAGACCGCCTCTTATACAATGGCTATTTCCCCCGGGGGGGGGGGGTAAAGAAGCAAGGGCGTGAAGCTGACTGCCCACCTCTCTAATGCCGAGGTCCCGAATACTGGAACTATACCTCTACTCCCCCATACGTCTTCACAGAGTGGTGCTTCATTAATTAAACACAGGAAAGTTTACGATCTTCTGGAATATGACGTTGGGTAGTGTTATAGATAGGTACAGGCGTTTCGGATGGACTTGCTGGCTTCATATTCAAGGTATAAGGGTGATCTAGAGGTTAGTCTGAAACGTTGACACTTATCTACTCTGTCAAGCCGCACAACATAGTAACCTCAGTCGGTTTATTTGTTGGTATTTTTAGTGCGATTGTTCTGAAGTAAATTACACAAGAGCCCGAGAGAAACGCCTGGTCCAGCGCCTTGGAGGACAACATACCATCATGAAGAAGGCAGTGGACACGCATGCGCAGGACAAGAAGGAGATGGTGAGTTATAGTTATTTTGGTGTAGCTCAAAAAATTGTTAACTCGTGTTCTTAGACGTTTCGTGCAAAAATAGTGTGAATCAAGTTATTTACATACAGGAATGCAAACTTGAAAAAATTATAACAATTATTGAGACTTGAGTGAGATATTGCTTTGGGCTGGATGTACGAATATGACAAAGATATGCAATCTAATTTTGTTTTCGTTTAGGTAAAATGAATGTAGACAAGTTTAAAATTAGAAATGTGCTCTCAAAGACGTTTTTCCACATTATGATACAATTATTGAGTCGCATGAAGGGTTTGAAGAAAGTCCAAGTGAAATTAAAATGAACATCGCAAGGGCCGACAGTCGGCACATTACGATCTTAATGAAAAGTAACACCATGTTTCGATTAGTGAGAAGAGCGACGTTTCTGCTTCAGGTACATTTATCAAAAAAACAAAAAACAATCGCAAAGAGACAATTTGTTTCCATTGTTCAAGCTTTTGCCATCCATTAGTTGCACCAGCAACAATAATTATATATATATTATGGAGATTATTTTCATGGGCCTATAGCTTAGCCACTGTAACACAAAGATAAATCTTAAATAAAAGTTCCAAATTACAAATGTAAATTTTTACCATTCCCCATCACCCTTAATTTTTTAAATGATGCTCCTTCTCTTTTAACACAAACAATTTTAACCAAACTTTCTGACCTTCAGATGTGAATGTTTAAAGAAATGACCAGACACACGTCATTAAAACCATGTTCTAGATTTAAATGTGATATCATTCTGATGTATGTTACCCTGAACGAATTTTCATATTCTATACAAGGCTCAAAACACGTAGTTACCGGAGAACAACAATGAAAATATCGGAGATTTGACAATTATTGTTACGTGTCGGATGCTGATAAAAACTACATCTTGCTCTGTGGCAAGTACGTAAACATGGACTGGCTGTTATGTATACGGCGCTTCATTTAATGACGGTGAGAAGAGTGCATGTGTACGAGTATTTAACAACGTATCCATAATGTACCAAGGAGGATGAGATGGGCAGGGCATGTAACATGAATGTGGAGGAGCAGAATGCATATAGGATATTGGTGGGAAAGCCAGAAGGAAACAGACGACAAAGAACACCAAGATGTAGGTGGGTGGACAATATTAAAATGGATTTTAGAGAGATGGGATGGGCTGGTATGGACTGGATTGATCTGGTTCAGGATAGGAACTAGTAGAGGGATGTTGTGAACAGGGTAATGAACTTTCGTGTTCCATAAAATTTTGGGAATTTCTTGATTAGCTGCACAATTGACGGCTTCTCAAGAAGGGCTCAGCTCCATGGAGTTGGATATCTATAGCTACTTAGTAAGTGTGCTTCAATGTTCTTGTATGAACATCAGGATCACATACTAATTCATGTTCACAAGTGAGATGTTTGTAATATGAACGTACACAAAATTTCAAATTCAAATAAATATTGACATTTGTTGCTGTGCCGGTCACGGTAGCCCAGCGGTCTAAGGCATGTACTGTCTTCGCTTGCTTGGAAACCGGGATCGTGGTTTCGAATCCCACTCAGGGCATGGATGTTTAGTTTGTGTGTGTGTGTTTTTCTGTGTTTGTGTACGAGTAGAGGCCCTGCGACGAGCTGATCACCCCCCCCCCAAGGAGTCCTACCTTATGTCTAAGATCTAGAAAAACCGAAGTGAACGAAGAAGTTCATTTATGGAATCCGAAGGTTCATTACCGTCTTCACAAGAACCCACAATGGTTCGTATCCTAAGCCAGATCAATCAAATCCATAGGATCCTATCCTGTCCCTCTATCCATTTTAATACTGTCCACCCACTTATGTCTTGGTCTTCAAAGTGGTCTCTTTCCATTTGGTTTCGCCACCAATATTCTATACGCCTTCTTCCTCTCCCGCATTCGTGCTACATGCCCTACGGGCTGGATTAATATCTCGAAGGAAAATTTAAGAATGAATGGCTGGCCTTGTAACACACGAGAAATGAGTACTACGGATTTTTTTTTATCAGAAATTCTGAAAGAAAGACACCAACTACTATGGAGATCTAGGCGTACATGGGAGAATAATATTAAACTGCATCCTAAAAAGTAAGGTTGTCGAGTGGATTATGCTGGTTCACGTTAAGGTTCATTGGCATTCTCTTCTGAACACGGTATTGAATTTTCGGGTTCCATAATCGACGTCGAATTTCTTGGCCAGCTAAGCGACTATCAGCTTCTTAAAAAGAACTCTGTCCCATAGAGTGAGTTATTTTGGCATACTTTAAATACGGTTCTTAAAACTGAAATCAGATTTTAATATATTATTGTCTTCATATATTCGTGCCTTTGGCTTCCTGGTTCGATGGAAGGTTCGTAAGGATAAGTTTAACGGGGTTTGCCAATTGTTGAATGTATTTTTCATAGAATGTTAAGGATGTGTAATTGATCGAAGCTTAGTTCAAGCCACTATGGCCTATAGCCTGGAATTACTGAAGAAAATCACAACTTTAAATCAAGATTATTAATGCCTCGATGGAAACTCTAAGCCAGAACAGAACCAGGTATCTTCCTCCCCTCACCTTGAGGACGGAAACAGACCCAGTTTCCGAAACGTTGTGTTTTCTAGTTTCTAGAATACCTGACAACGGACGAAGCCCCAAAACCCAGTAATTCTGAGAACCTACTGCTTTAGCTTCGAGTGAACTGCCTTCCTTACTTTCAACTATCTTTGAAATACAATTTATTTATTATTATTGTAGTTCTTTATTATTATTTATTTCTTATTAAAGGAATCTCTTTGAAATGTTAAGCAGGTGTGTACTCAGTCGAAATATTTCTTACGTCCCACTTGTGTGATGTGTTGTGTTTTCAAACTCTGAACACTTTCTGTTTGCTTATGGTAAGGTCATGTGGAATGTTTAAGTATTGGAAAGAAAGTAAAGTAATTACGGAAGCTTTCTAGAATGAAGAAAGCTGATATTACATAAAAAAGTATTGTATTTATGCGTATATGCATAAACGTATTCATTTATTCTGTGTGTGCTGTATGTCAGACATACTGTACAGACTTTCTGTTAGGAACCGCACCCACGCTTTCATTTCAAGTTCTATTGTCGGCTCTAAACACTGAAGTCGAGTCTCATTCCACGAAGGCTACGTTCCTTCGCCTCCCGGAACGTTGCGTTTGTGAAGAAACCGAAAATTCGAAAACAATATCAGTTTATTGCATATATTAGCAAAACTCGTTGATTGTGATTTTTCCAAGGGTTCTGTATGGGTATGAAACTTGGTTTCTGATATTAAGGGAGGAACGAAGACTGAGTGTGCTTGAGAACATGGTATTGGGGATGAATTAATAAAAGGACGGACAGAACTGCGTAATTAGGAGTTTCATAAATTGTAATCTACGCCAAGTACAGTTAAAATTACCAAGTCAAGGTGAATTACATTGGCAGGACATTAGTACGCATAGGAAAAAATGTATATAAGCTGTTGGGAGGAAAGCCAGAAGGAAGGAGACAACTAGGAAGACCAAAGCGTATGTGGGTGGATAATATTAAAATGGATCCTAGAGAGGTAGGGTAGGATGGTATGGACTGGTTTGATCTGACTCAGGATAAGGCCCTTGTGAAGGCGGCAATGAACCTTCAGTTCCATAAAATGCTGGGAAATTATTAAGTAGCTGAGCGACTGGCTGCTTCTCAAGGTCTCAGCTCCATGGAGTTAGTTATAAAGAATTATTGTCAGGAAACCTAAAAAAAAGGCTACAGTTTGGGATATTGGGATGTAGTTTGAACGATAATATTAAAACGAGCCCTAAAGAAATACCGTGAGAGGCTATTCTCTGGAGTCAACTGACAGGGCAGAATCCAGTGGCTGGCTCCGGTGGGCTTGATGATAAATAATCACGTTCAATTTAAGGCGGAGAATTTCTTGATCATATATACGACCATTATTTTCTCAAAAAATATTCTATCCCACGGAATTAGTTAAGGTTAGGGGAAACGCTTAAATTGAGTAGAGACTTATAGGAGGATAATAGTCTGCCGTAGTACAAGGGACTTAGGCCCACCTCACTAGCAATTAAAAAAAAAAAAGAAAAGGAGGATAGTAAGGAGCACATATCCTAAGAGAAAGAGAGAGAGAGGAAATAACACTTTTTTTATTTATACTGGGGTTGTACTAAGTCCCTTGTACTGCGGCCACTTCTGGCCTATTGTACCTGCCCAGATGATAGGTGAGGGTGATTGTGGAGCAATTGGTGGAATGAAGATTGGCAGGGGATACCGAAGTACTCTGAGAAAACCTGCCCCAGCCCCACTTTGTCCACCACAAATCCCACTTGACCAGACCCGGGCTCGAACCCGAGCCGCCGCGGTGGAAAGCCAGCGACTAACCGCTTGAGCTATGGTGCGGCCTGAATGACACTTGAATGGAGAAAATTTGCACAGTGATACACTTCGTGCCAGTCACAGTGGCTGCGAACTCTAAGGCATGAACCGTCTTCGCTCGCTCGAACGCTGGGATCATGGGTTCGAATCCCATTCAAAGGCACTGATATTTGTGTGTGCATTTATTCTGTGTTTGTATTGTCCTGTGAGTAGGTAGCTTTTTTGCGACGGGCTGATCACTCGTCCAGGGAGCTCTACCGTCTGCGTAGAAAAGATTACTAAACCGAAGAAGGCCTGGGCCTAACAAAGGGTTGTAGAGCCATTGATGAATGAATGAATGAAATTATACACTTCGTAATTCGTACTTCTCATCACACATTATTAGGTAGATCCATTGAAAGAGGGTGAGACGAATAGAAGATATAGAACGAATGGCATAGAAATGAATACTAAACGTCTATGTATTCGGTCCATCAATAATACAACAATTGTAAGATTTGAGGCTTTCACGGCGGTGACTATGAAGAAAGCAGTCTTCTGGGATTTGGCACCGTGTATATGTGGTGTTAACCGACGTTTCGGAGGAACGTATCGCCTCC